ATGTGTATAAGAGACAGGGGCTTGGGTTTTCCACCTCTGGGGGAGATGGAGGAAAAGCTGCGTTTCAGGGAGCCAAGACAAGCACCGTCAGGAAAAGGCAGTGCTGGGGAAGGGCATTTTCCTCCTCGTTGTCCACGGGACCCTCCAGCAGAGCCCCGCTGGGGCTGGGCCGCGGTGCTGGGTGCTGGCAGGCAGGAACGGGCAGGAACGGGCAGTGCTGGAAGAGGCAGAGGGGTGACCGTGACCCCCCCGCCGCGCTCATGCTGAGCTGCCCACGCTCCTGCGGAGGAAGAAGCTCTGAGTGGGTTGCAGGAAGGGACAGCGTGGGGAGAACAGCAGAAATTTAGCCAAAAGGATTAAAAAAAACCCTGCTGTCAAGAGAAGCTGGAATTTCCCCGGCCAGGAGCTGGGGTGAGCACCAAGCGAAGTGTCAACAGGTGATGGCTTGAAGCCGAGACTCTCCCCGATGCTCGGTGGGAGCGAGCCAGGAGCAATTCCCCCCCCCCAGGGCAGGACCAGCCCCGAGCTCACACTGGTGGGGTGGTGAGGGGGGGACATGGACTCTGTGGGGTGAGTGCAGGGCCGAGCACAGGACCAGGGCAGAGTCCCCAGGCTGAAAACATGCTGCCGTGACCAGCGTGGGAGCCTGGCAGAAAGGTTTGGGGTGTTGGTGTGACCGTCACCCCACAAACCCTGGGAGGTCTCTGCCCTGGGCCTCTCTGCCCCACTGCCACGTGCTCTCACCCCACGTGTCCAAGCCCGAACTATTCCCTTAATTATCCCTGACAGCTTTTCTCAAGTGATCCCCAAAGTCAAATGCAGCCTCTCCGTGGCTCCCGACCCATCGCCTGCCCCTTTCGTGGCAGTTCAGCACCCAGAGCACCCAAACACTGACAAACCAGAACCAAAAACCAACACGGCCCAGGGCCTGGAGGAGGCATGCAGGGCAGGGAAGGGGGTCTGTACAGTCGAGCACAGCAGAGCTGCCACAAGCAACAGGGAGGGGACGTTTGCTCCAGCAATCCCAGATCCAAAAGGATCCGTGGAGAGGCCCGGAGCGAGGTGAGGAGCAAAGCTGAGCTGGGGAGGAGGAGGGACGGCGCCGTCCCCAACGCCGATGGCATGTCGAGGGCAGGATGCAGGCAGAGCAGGAGCACACAGCACCCCGCAGAACTGCGAGTCGCAACACAAAACAGAAGCAGCAAAACCTACAGCATCCACCAGCCTGTCCTGAGGACGCAGCCTCCAGAAGGGAAAGAGCCTCTCCGGCAAATCAAGAGGACAATTAATGCTTTCTTCAAGCCAGGCAGACAGGATAACCCAGTCAAGAAAATGCCACCACGACCTCAATTCTCAAAGCCCAGGTCCGGCTTTTAAAGCTCTTTCAGGGCCACCTCCGCTGCCCTCAAGCCCTCAGAACAGACACACCAAATCCCTGCCCGCGCCCGCCAGCCACGACGGGCAGCACAACCACAACCGCCAGCTCTTTCACCCCAAGTCCCCGTACAGTACTCGTGATTATAAGTGCTTTGCATACATAGTTCGACATCATGCATATACATTTCTATGCACTAAGGCCCTTGGCCCAGCGGAGATACCGTCCTCCTGCACCAGAGAGGTCCTTCATTTTGCGTAGGGCTCGTAGCGTGCGTCGGACTCCGGCTCCCTCCTGCTTCAGCTGGTAGGACCCGAGTCTGCAACAGCCTCGCCGGCTGCTGCCCACGCGCTTGCATATCATAGTGGGAGTTCAGCAAACACCAGTACTAGGTAAGCAGCTGATTACGAAAAGAACCATATTTACAGAGCTACAGTTAGCTTCAACGGGTTACGTTTGCAGAGATTCACTGAAGACAGCCAGAAACAACGAGCTGTGCATCCTATAGATTCTGCCGGGAAAAAAACACGGGTACCAACACGGATTTCACAGCTTAGTTGGCACAACGAAGGCGAGAGATTCATCACTAACCAGATCCTCCCTCCCCAGACAGCAACACTCGAGAGGTGGTTACAACATTAGGGAACGAGACGGTGAGGTGGGGCACGGCACGGAGCGGAGACCTCGGCCCAGAAGCCCCATGGAGGACGGGGTTTCTCTTTTCTAAGCGAGTCTCTGCACCGGAGGAGCAGCACCCCTCGTACCAGACACCACCGCAGCTTGCGAGATCGCCGAGGGAAGCGAGAGTGGAGGATGCACAAGCTCAACTGCTCAGCGGAGCCTCCTCCTCCTCTGCCTCCCTCCGGCATCCAGGCAGGGAGCCCCTCGCTCAGCGCAGAGCTGGGCTGGGGCGGTGACCGAGGAATCGGGAACCAAGCTCTACAGTGATGCGTAGCGGGGCGACCTGCCAGCAAGAAGGGGGCTCTGACCTGCTTATCGGGGAAGGGGAGGGGGCTGTGCTTGCCCCCCAGCAATTCAATCACAACTGGATCCCACCTCCTAGAGGCTGGAGCCCACTGGGAATCAACAGCCCAGCCTTTTTGTCCCATCAGCAAAACACGGGTTTCAGCTACTGACCAAAAGGGACACCAGGAACGGTCACAGACATCTCAGAGGCTCTGGAGGGGGCAGGAGCACAGAGACTCAACTATACAGGGTGCAAGAGTCCAGAGCCAGAAAGCAGCGCCCTGGGGAGAAGCTGAAGGCAGCTGTTGTGCTGTGCATGGGCTGCTCATCTGGCTGGTGGCTGGGAAAGGACCGGGTGAGCCAGCGTGACATTCAGGGAGTCGTTGTGCTGCACCAGGGACGTGTGCTTGTAGTGCAAGACCAGGTCCTTGAGGGAGGCGTAGAGGTTGTAGGGTTCAGCGAAGCCGTAGCCCGTTGCCGTTTTGTAGATCACACAGTGCTTGGTGTCACCGTCCACCCTGCCAGGGAGACAAAGGGGTCAGCAGCAGGCTGGGGACATCACCAAAGCAGCCCCCAAAATACATCTGGCCCTGGCAGGAGGAGCTGAGGCGGACAGGAGATCTTGGGGACGCCTCTGCCAGGCTCCAGCAAAACTGGAGAAGGGCAGAGGGAGGCCTGGCCACACTCACACCCCGCCAGCTCTGCCTGGGGGTACTCACACCACGGAGCAGGCGTAGCATCCCTTCTGGCTGCTCTCGCGGATCAGGAAGGTGCCGTCCCGTTTGCCACACAGCATCTCCTCTGCCTGCAGGCGGTTGATCTTCCCCACGTACCACGTGCGTTCCTCGTGGTGGGGCAGCTCCTCCTCGTCATCCATCATGGAGTACTGGCTGCAAACGAGCACAGGCAGGCTCACATCCCGTCGGTTTGGGCACGTGGCCCCCACATCTCCTCTCCCACCCTCGTCACCCCTTCCAGCAGGGAAGATGTCCTCAGCTCCCGGGCAGGGAGATGGGACTTGCCCACTAGCCCGGAGCAGAACCAGCCACACGTCCCATGCTCCTGCAGCTCCCCCCCATCCCACAACACACGAGCAGGGACACTCACTCCTCTGTCTCGTTCTTGATGCCCAGCCACTCGTTGATTTTCTTCTGCCGGGCACCCTTTTGTGTCAGCCACCTGTGGAAGGAGAGGCAGAGCTCAGTGCAGGCAGCGTGCCCAGCCTGTGGCAGCTGGGTCAGACCACACTCGTGCAGCAATGACAGAATCCCAGAATCATCTGGGTTGGAAAAGCCCTTGAAGCTCCTCCAGCCCAACCATGACCCTCACCCTGACCCTTCCCAACTCCCCCAGATCCCTCAGCGCTGGCTCAGCCCGACTCTTCAACCCCTCCAGGGATGGGGACCCCCCCCTGCCCTGGGCAGCCCATCCCAACGCCCAACAGCCCCTTCTGCACAGAAATCCTTCCTCAGAGCCAGCCTGACCCTGCCCTGGGCAGCTTGAGGCCATTCCCTCGGGGCCTGGCGCTGGGGCCTTGGCTCCAGAGACTCATCCCCCCTCTCTGCCCCCTCCTGGCAGGGAGTTGCCGAGGGCCAGGAGGTCTCCCCTCAGCCTCCTCTTCTCCAGACTGAACCCCCCCAGTTCCCCCAGC